TGACATACGACAGGAGTTACTATTTGCTTCAGCTTCTGCCACTGTTGCTCCTTCCACTGTGCTCTTCCACTTTGCTCCTTCTACTGTTGCTCCTTCCACTGTTGTTCTGCCACTGCTGTTTTTATCACTGTTGTTTCTGCCACTGCTGCTTCTTTCATTCTTATTTCTTCCACTCTAGCTTCTTCCACTGTTGCTTCTTCCACTGTTGCTTTTCCTCTTCCTTCAAGCATATTTACCGCATTCCCTTATTAAATCTTCTCTCCTACTGATTTTTTCACCGTATTCCCCGCACCTCCTACCAACTTCTCTATATTTTTTTTGCGGTTGTTTGACATCTTCTTTTTGTTTTTCATCCACCGCCGTCACGTTACCATCATCATCATTATCATTATTATTATTACGAATACCATTCAATCCGTCGAAAAAACATTGTTCGAGTATGGGATCGTAGGTACCCAAATAACTATTGCAAAAACTGCAATGATGATCGACTTCGGATTTCCAATGACAGAAAAACGGAACCCAACACAATCTGTAAACGTTTTAAAAAACAAAAAAAAAATCTTATTCGACACGCGAACGTCGAACGTCGAACGCCATTTTGCTTTGCTTTTTTTTTATTGCTTACAAACAAAATGATAGTCCCATGGCGATAATTCTCGTTTTCAACGTGGGATAATATTTTATTTTCGTCCAAACGACTGTTTTGCAATAGTAGCAATATTTTGCGACAGGATTCGGACAATTAAGTACCGTTTTCGTTTCTCTACCTGAATCGAAATACGTAATAATAAATAAATAAATAAATCAGCAAAAAATTGTCTTCTGCTTTTTCCTGTTTTCAAAAAGAGATTATGATGATGAGAACGTTTTGTTTTTAATTATTGTTTAGTTTTGCGTAATTCAACCTCTGTTATGTCTATATAAGGTTTTTTTTTTTCTAAATTTTCTTTTTGTCTTTCTTTCTTTCCTTCCTTCCTCCTCTCCTCTCCTCTCTCCTTTCCTCTCCTCTCCTCTCCTCTTTCCTCTCACCTCCACACTTTGATTTCCTTTTTCTAACTTTTTTTTTTTTTTTTTTTATCTATCTAAATTTCGTCATTTCATTCAATTTTGCGTTGCAAACAGAAAAAGAAGATGCGTTTCCTATTACTTCATTTGTTTTTCGATCGTTTCGTTAATAGGAAATCGCATTAAATTAAACGACTACCAATTACGGAAACGGAAACGAATCGAAAAAAAACAATTTTTTTTTTTTCAGTATATAATTCTAACGCGGAGGGGGGAGGGGAAACCAAATAATGCAAAAATTGACAAAAAAAAAAAAAAAAAATACAAAATTGCACGAAATTTTTCCTTTCATTCAAACAAACAAACAAACAAACAAACAAACGTTAAAAAAAAAAATACAATCGATAATTACGATCGGACAATAATGAAAATTCAAAAGTTAAGCAAATCGATCGATCGATCGAACCGTTACCATCATCATCATTATTATTATTACGGTTACCCATTGTGTAATAATAAATCGTCTACTAATAATTCGATTGTTTTTTTGTTTTTTGTTTGTTGTCGAAACCGATGAAATTAATTAATAATAATAATAATAAAATGAAATAAAAATAATCGATTATTGATTGATTGATTGATTGATCGATCGTTTTCTTTATATGAATTGCAACAAGTGCAACAAACAACAACAATAATAATAATGATATTTATCACAATCGTTTCTTGTTTTTGTCGCTTACTCGTATCGAATAAAAATGATTGATTGCGTTTGTGCGTTTGTTTGCGTGTGCGTGAGTTTGTGCGTGTTTGTTTGTGTGTGTGTGCGCGCGTGCGCACACAAAACACACACAACAACAACAAAAATTATTCTTACTCGCGGAATGAACTTAAACTGTTATTCGAGTACTACAGGTACGTTCTTTAATTTAATTTTTTTTTATTTTATCTTAATCTCGTTTGTTGTTTGTTGTTGTTGTGGTTGTTACGGGTCGAAGGTCTTTTCAATCAATAGTGTAACTCAAGTATAAAGTTCGCGTTACGATATATATATTTTTTTTTTACGACTCTAAAAACCGTTGTAACGCCACAATTGCGAATGCAAACATTTAAAAAAAAAAAAAAAAAAAAAACCTACCACATTTCTAATTACACGGATTATGGAACGATTTGTTTTTTTCTTTTCTATTCTTTTCTTTTCTTTTCTATTATTTTCTTTTCCTTTCTTTCTTTCTTTCTTTCTTTCTTATTAATAAGTTTGAGATTAAAAAAAAAAAAAAAAACAAAAACAAAAATGGCGAACGTTTTTTTTTTTTTTTTTTTTCAACTTTAAATTGAGGGTGAACGTGAAATTGAATTTTCAATATAACAACCAATTTTTTTTTTTTTTTTTTCGACGTTTCACTACGCCGTGACGATAACGCACAACACCCTCCGAAGATTAACAATAATAATAATAATAATAATAATAATAATAATAAAAACGCGTGCGTATTCGTTTGAACGTAAACCTACCGAAACCGCATGATACGTTTTCTATTTTGCTTTTTTGATATTAATATCGAAACAGGTACAAATTGCTGTTATTTAAAATACGTGCCAACAACAAACAATTCGATAACGCATTAGAAAAAAACAAAGTTTGTCGTATTCCTATAATTCCTACGTATTATATCAAAGGGCAAAAAAAAAAAAAAAAAATTATACGAAATAATGATGATGATGTTTTGATGCAAAGTTTGAGCGGGGAGGGGAGGGGAGACACGAGAGACGACGACGACGAGAAAAAAAAAAAGAAAACGAAAGCTTTCGTGACGCGGTAACAAACAGGAAACGATACCACCGTTAAGAACAATAAAAAAAAAAAATTCAAAAGTCTATCGATCGATCGATCGATCGATATATCGATCGATAAAGTTCTGGAAAGAATTGTTTTCTCGTACAAAGAACTCAAATAAAAAAATATATCGAATGAAATTAACGTGACGGAATTATTCGCGTTTAAGTAAACAATTTGATTTTGTTTTACGTCACTCACCACCGCCATTGTTGCCACCGCCATTTCCACCGCCAATACCACCGCAACCATCTGCTTCGGCCGTGAAAATATGCATTATTGAATTGTCGTATCGGATCAATTCGGACTCCATTTTTTTAAATCTCTGCAAAAAAAAAAAGCGTATACTTAAAAAAAAACGGAAAACGAGACATTTTTTTTTTTTTTTTGGTAAACTTTTAAATGCGCGTGCGTGACAAAATAAATTCGACAATACCTGTTACGCCACTGACGACATACAACAACAACAACAACAACATTTACGTCTGCTTCGTTTCAAATCTTTCAATATTTGTAACCTTATCACGCGAAACCGTTGACAGAAACATTTTTTTTTTTTTTAATACTCTAACGTATCTCTCGCTTCTTTGACTTTTTATTATTATTTTTCTCCTGTTTTTGTCGTCTGCTTTTTTCCCTTTTATTATTTTTCTCTCTTTCTCCTAATAACGATACCTGAAATCAAAAAAAAAAAAAAAAAAAACATGAAGACATAAAAAAAATTGGTAAAAAAAGAGGAAGAACGGAGGGTGTCGAGAGAGAGAGAGAGAGAGAGAGAGAAACCCATCGGTGTACAGGTTCCCTCTTCTTCTTCACCCTCTCTCATCATCTTTCGCATTTAAGGTTTTAAAAAAACTCCTTTTTTTTTTTGTTATCCCCCTAAACATTTCGTCGGTTTGTATTCGTTTGTACAATTTCAAGAACAAAACAAACTTAATATTTTTACAACGAAATTCAATTATAAACCCACCATTCGTAGATACATATATACATAAATAATTTTTAAACCTCCCGTACCTGATTTGATTTTCTTCTATTGACACGTTTTTACACACACACACACACACAAAGTTTTTAGGTAAGTATATAATTCGCTCAAGATTAAACTTGATTTCGATTTTAAATGTTAATGTTTACAATAAAAACGTTATGATTATTATCGTCATGACACAAAACGAATCATCATCATTATCATTATTATTATTTAAAGATACCGTGTACGTTTAATTTCGAGGGTAAATCTAATTACTGAAAAAAAAAAAAAATACAAACAAAAAATTTATTATTATTATTATTTTTAAATTAAAAAATATGTGGAAAATTCAAAACAAATAATTTCGATTGAAAAATCATCGTCGTCGTGGCAGGAGAAACGTTTAAAAATAAAAAATAAAAACCACCGCGCGTTCGGGAACGAATTTAAAAAATTTTTACTCCTGTAAAGGAATGAACCCCAACCGTTCGACCCCTCGAATATACAACCTCGAACCTTTGCCATCATTTACTATCATCATCATCATCATCATCGTTTATGGTCTTGAACCCGAGTCACCCCGTATATTTTCCTAATCTTTCTTTTTTTTCCCTCCCCTCCCCTCGAAATGTAGGGAGATAATCTCTTCTTTCGTCAAATCAACAACAGATAATTTTTCTTAAAAAAAAAAATACAAACAAACAAACAACCGTTTGTTAGATTTGATTAAATACGATAATAACTAAATACGGATTGTTTTTCGTTTGTAATCGATTCCGCCATTTTGGAAAATGAAGAGATGTAAAAAAAAAAAAAAAAAAATATGATGAACGCGAAATAAGCGTTCGTTCGCGTAATAATGAACGTTTGTTTGTTGGTTGTTTTCCACTCCGTAAATCCTTCCGATTTAAAAAATAATAATAATAATAATTCGTGTCACCTGCTTTTCATCATCATTATCGTTTCCTCCCTTTCGACCTAAAATCTTTACAAAAGGTTCTCTCTTTTTTTTTTGTCTTTTTGATTTCTTTTCTTCCCCTCCCCTCCCTCTCTCTCTCTCTCTCTTTCTTTCTTCTCCCTTCTTTTTCCTTTTTAAATTTCGACCCCATTTTTTTTTACGAGACGTTTCATAAAAGACAACCTGCCCTCGTATAATAAAAACGACCTTATTTTATTTTATTTTTTTTTTTTATTTCGACAGCAGACTCCCCCTCTCTCAACTAAATGGATGACCTTTTTTTTTTTTTTTTTTAAATCAAAGAAACACTTGTTTGAATATAATTTAAGATCCTACAAACATCAACAAACAACAAACGACTAAGACGAGGAAAAAAAAAAAAAAATCTTCACAAGGGGGAAATTATTTTGCACATGTTCTCACGTAATGGGAACAATTTCAAATAAAAAAAAAAAAAAACGAATCTTTTTATCTTATACAACAACCAACCAACCAACCAATAAATAATAATAATAATAATGCTTAACTTATAGATAATTTAATAATAATAATAATAATATTTTTTTCGAGTTCCGCACCTTGCATTCACTCTCGGTTCGGTGATGGTACCGTATTGTGAAGATGGTGCGTAATCGAAAACGTTTTTTTTCTCCCTCCCCCATCCCGGGGAGGGGGGGGCGTTCGCTTTCGAAAAAAAAATTCCGTTAAAATCGAAAAAAAAAGTCGTGACGTAATTAAAGTAGAAAAAATTTTCACTTTCGATTCTCAATTTAATCTTCTTAACAGTAAACGTTGAATAATTTTTTTTTCAAGTAAGAAAAATTTTATTTTCTGCGTGACCGAAAAACACGAACGCCAACCGTTTAAATATTTTTTTTTTTCTAGAACTTTCCCCCCCCACCACCACGATTGTTTTTTTTTTTAATGAAAATTTATCCTAACGGCGTGACACGTTGTTATATACCAAAAAAATTATTATTATTATTATGGATTATAAGATAGTTAAGAGCAAACTGAAAAAAAAAAAAAAAAAAAAAAAAAAAAAAAAAACGGGTTAACGCAGGGTAACGCCCAAAAACGCGCGTACAAACGCTAAATATTATCAATGAACGATTTTTATCGACGAGTTGTTATTACGAAATGAAAATTTCATAATTTAAAAATCTTTTTTTTCAGTACGAATAAACGCAACATTTCGCTGCGTTTTTGTTTGTTTTGTTTTGACGTCACCGCGTGCAAAATAAACCGAACGCATTCGTTTTCAAGACAACAACAACAACAACCACAACTTTTCGCAAATCGAACAAAACGTTCGATCATTATTTACTATTTACGTTCGTCCGAACAACCGACAAAGAACGACGTCATCAACTCTTAACAACTTTCATCGATTTTTCTTTTTTTTTTTTTTGCTCGTCTTTCTGGAAAATTCCAAAACGTTTGTTCGTTTGTTTGTTTGTTTGTTAATGAACAATCGTTCGTGCGAGTTTTTTCTATTTTTTTGCCACGAAATAAAAACCCAGATGCTAAAAATAAAATTTTCTCTCTTTTTTTTAAACAAATCGCTTTCTTTCTTTCTTTCTTTCTTTCTTTCTTTCTTCATTTTTCAAATGGTAATTTATAACAAAAGAGAGAGAGAGCGAGAGAGAGAGAGAGAGAGAGAGAGAGAGAGAGAGAGAAAGAACTACAATCGGACATTTTGAATGTCATTTTGAAAAGGGGAGAAAAAGAAAAAAAATAAAAAAAAAAATTTCGGGTGTGTTTTTGGGTTCGACCAATATAATAACCTTTTTTCATACAACAACCAAAATTTTTTTTTTTTATACCTGAAACGACAAAACTTGCTAAAAATACAACAACGACGACAACGACGACGACGAAACAAACAATAAATAAAAATTCGTGTCGTAAAAAAAATAAAAAAAGGAAGCAAACACAAACAAAAGAAAAAAAAAAACCTGGAGAAAGCAGACGAATATAACGGTCACCATCACCATCACCATCACCCCCGCCACCTTTTTTTGTTGTTGATAACTTTATAACAAAGATAGATCAGCATCCATTATTATTATTATTATTATTATTATTATTATTATTGTTTAAAATTTCATCGAATTTTTTTTTTTTTAGTTTTCACGTAAACGCAAAGATTGAAATTTTATCCTATCACGATATCACTGAATCATGCAGATTATAGGGGAAAAAAAAAAAAAGAAAAATCGGCAGAAAATTAAAATCTGATTCTTCTTCTGCTCCTTCATCGACGCCATCATTATTATTATTATTATTTTACGCGACTTCCAAAGTGTATAAAAAAAAAAAAATAAACAAAAAAAAAAAAGTTGCCCCTCAAAAATCAAACAGGTTCTTCGCCTTTTCTTTTCTTTCTTTTCTCTCTCTCTCTCGTTCAACAGGTATATAATTTTTCCCCGATAATCTTAGTTGAATTTGTATTTCGTTTAAAATTAATCACTTTCACCTTTTTTCTTACGTTTTTTTTCCTTACGTTAAAAACGTAAAATGAATTTGTTTTTCTATTCGGAGTCTATGATGCAGTAACGTTTTCTTACGTTTTTTTTTTTTTTCCAAAACGTTGTTTTTATTTTTGTTTTTGTTGTTGTTTGTTGTTGTTGTTGTTGTTCTTCCCGTGCAAAGGTTAAAATCCTTGCAATGCTTTTTTTTTTTTTTTTGGTTTCTTCTTACGTACGTTTTTTTTTTT